AATTGAAAAATTATGATGGATGATTGTTTCTCAGGGTTCTGAAAAAAATGAATTTATACAAGGTATACCTTTTTCATTAATAAGGTTTCTAGTCTACTTCTGTTGAATGCACTATTTTGGAGGTGTATGTCAAGTAAGTAGAAGAGGTTCTTTGTCTTATGCAGACAGTGGTAAGTGAAAAGAAATATGTTAATACTTTTCAAGATCTCCAAAATAGTACAGTTAATGTACTTTAAATATGTAAATTACTTCTGATTCTTGCTTGTAATAATATTTTAGAAGTTTGAAATTGAAACACCTAAGGCTGCAGTCCTTCAAAGAGTAATGTAAGTGTTTAACTTCATGCACTGTAGGTAATCCCATTGGCTTCAAAGGGACTACCCAGCATACAAAGTCAGCCCCATGCTTCAGTCATTCCAGAAGCAGAACCTAATTCCAGTGCTGATTATTAAAAAATTGATGTTTATTATTATTTTTTGGTGAAAAAAAGAAATGCTGTGTTTATTTACTGTTTTGAAGAAACGTTTGTAAAACTATATGCATTTTGAGAGTGGATACAAGAACAATGGAAGAAGGATTGGGCTTATCATCCTATACTTTTTTAATATAGGCAGAGAACTGGGCTTAGACAAGCTTTGTCCTGATGTAAAATCACCCTTTATGTTGGTATAAACAGAGAACAGACGCATGCCAACATAAGTTCCTTGAATCTGGTATAGAGGAAAATGAGTAGAATTGTACCCATGTAAGTGGAATGCATCCATAGCTATCCAGGAGTAGCCATTTTCTCATAAGCCACTGATTCTCAACCAGGGTGCTATGGCACGCTTGTCTGCCTTGATATCCTTTCAAGGGTGTCACGGGGTGCCATACAATGTTAGATGTGCAAATGTGATTCACAAGATAAACCCAGAGACTTTAAATAGGAATCTGTAGTGTTTAAAACCTTTTGTGGTATTGTGATCTTTCTGAGTTCTTTGTACAGAAAATTGCGCTGCTACTTTTCTATAGTCAAAAAATGAACAAAAACTAGAGGTGACAGTTTCCAAGCAATGTCTTGAGTCTGAAAAGGTTCAGAACCACTGTCTTAAGCAAGCTGTGTCATTCTTTCCTGCCACCTCATGGTAAAGGTTTGCAATAGTTCCTACTGTGAAATGCTACTGGGTGATTGCCTTCTCATTAGAACTGTAAACAAAGTACTCAAGACTTTTTTCTTCCTCTCTTATTATTAGCTGTGTAGTGTTGCTAATGCAAAATGGCCACTTTGTTACCTTCTAGAAAAGGTTTCATTCAGCAGTGGATGAAGTGAGCCCTGTATAGTTGGGAGGCCATAAATAGGAGTTGCACACTTGGGATGAATATAGGATATAACCTAGAGTTTGTACAGTGCAGTGAGCTCCACCAAGATTAAAGTAGCAGAATTTATTTTTAAAAGATATACTATTTTTGTGTACTTTTAGCCTGACAAACACAGCTGTAAAAGATTTTTTTAAAGTGATTTAGTGGAACAATGCTACTTGTATACATACAGGAATACAAAATTATTTGCCAGTTTAACTTTGCTGATGTATGACCAGAAACATTCAATGGTATCTACCCAATTCTTTCTTACTTTGTTTATGTGCATAATTTCAGGACTTCCACAGTAATTTATGAGTAAAATGATCAGGCTTTGACCCATCTTACCTCAGGTGAAAAGGTCAAGTGCAAGGTGGTCAAGACCAGCAGTGTTTCAAATTATTCATATTTCTGCAAGAAGTGTCAATGGAAACAGCTACTGAAACTTAGCAGCTAGACTGTGCAATATCATATAATAAGGAATTGCAGGGAGGTCCCACACAATGGCATTTGCAGTTACTTATTTTGAAGGAACACTACCCTCTGTGGCAGTGGGTTGTATAGATAAAATCAAAGGCAGAATTTGTTCCTAGGTATTAAAAGTAGTTTTCTATTAAAACAATTGTGTTTAGCATTGTTTGCTGGCATGCAGTTGGTGGGATTGTATAGATAGAACTGAGAGCAGACTTATACATCTCTTAATGAGATTTTATACTAAATATGTACGGTGTTAGAGCTTGTTGTGGGCTATTTAAATTAAATGCAAAAAGCTTTAGCTGCTGGCTATATAATCCACTGCATAAGCTAGTGAATTGAAGTGGCAGGTACGTGGGTATTAGATGCAAATATACATAATTTTCATGTCACTTACTGGGAATTGGCAAGAGATCTTTTGACAGTTGATAACCTTGCTGTTCATTCTGTTTTAAGATGGTGAATTTCTACCACTCTTCTTACATATGAGTGCAGCCAGGAAAAAGCACAGAGGGATCGTGGTATCTGCACATTATCCATGCCTAGACAAATCTGCTGCTTATCTACATGACCTTAGCAGGATCAGTCAATACATAGGGAGAGTCACCTCAGTCACCCCAAAAAAGCAATATTTTAAAATCCCCCCTTCATCCAGTGTTCTTTTAAATGCATGTTCCTAAATGGATATGTAGGAACATGATGCTTCATGCAATTACTCAGTTGACGTTTTTCACCACAGAGAGGACTGCATGTCCTGGTGGCCGGAGTAATTACTTGAAAAAAAAAGTTTTTGAAGTGCTTTGAAAATGTTAAGGCTGATACATAAAGCTATAAGCCCAGGTTACTGCATTACATGCGGTGGTCAGCACAGTGCTGAAGCTGCCATTATAACATTCTCATAGCCTTTTTTGTAGGAATTATGTTTCTTACCTCTCAACAGAACTTTTTAAAACAAAATATGTATTTCTGTGCCTCTTGAAAATTGAACCTGAGCAATTTCACCAAGCAGCCTGTTCCCTTTCCATTATGACATATTAATTTTTGGCTTAAATGATAGCTGTAGGTGCCTGAAAATAAAAATTCACTCCAGCTGTCTTCATTGTATTATCATTCTTTAATCCAGACGCATACTATTGTTATCTTTCATAATTCTCATTTATAAGATCTTGATTTTTCCTAATGAGCACATGTCACAGAGAGGAGAATCAGATCCATTTGTTGCCTCTGCTGTCATGACATGATTACGTATGTCTGTCTTGGTGACACATGGTCCATCAGCCCTGATGTTCTAAGTCTGGAAAGTAGATTGAGTGAAACTCATCCCTAAAATTGCTTCACTAAAACTAATGGCATTGCACTAAAGGGGACTTCTACACAAATGTTTCAGAAAACATATTTACAAGAACTTTATATTTAGTGGGCTGAACACATAGCTTGTTCCTTGATGATAATATACTATGATAGACCATGAAATCATGGCCCCCATTAAAGTCAATGGCAAAACTCCCAGTATAGAAAGCTTCAAAATGATTAATTTTGAAGTATTCTTTTCAAGTGAAGATCTCAGAATTAATTATAATATTATCGTCCTTTGTTTTATGTGAGTAAGTAACATTTATTGGAATTTCTCTCCACCACTTTGTTCCATATTTCAATGTGTTACTCAAGGAAAAAAACCCTTACAAGGTCATCATGTTACCAAAAAGGAGTATATGCATGTACATTCAGATCCTACCAAAACACATGCAAACCTTGGTTTTCTTTGTATAGCAAAGTATGTTGGGCAAGTTGTGTGGGTGCTAGTGTAGAAAGGGTTAGATCAGTGAGAGCCAAGCACTTTCTCAGGAGCGCTACAAATTAGTCTTATACCCTCCCTGAGCACCAGTCCAATCCCCTTCCTGTACCTGATCTGCTGCTCTGTTTTCTGCTCCCTTACCAGCCCGCTGTTTTGCTTTCTGCCTCCTGCCCCATGCTCCTTGCCTGATCTGCTGCTCTGCTTTCTGTTCCCTGCCTTATCTAGCACTTTGCTGCCTGTCCTCCTCCTCCCCTTCCCACCAAATCTGCCGCATGCCATATCCAGAGGCTGCTTGTGCCAGTTCAGGCACTTGTGCTGCAGGTTGGTCACCTCCAGATTAGAGCATTTTTTCCATGTGCAGCTTGTGCTTTTCAACTCCTTAGATGGAATCCTTCTTCACTAAAATCAAGTGAAACAAACGTCAAGGAATTTACTGGTTTTGAACAATTCCACACCCATCAAAATTTCCCCCAGTGCCTGCTGGCTCCAGTTTGAGTGCAGACAGTGAGTTCATAATGGAAACAAGCTTGGTGTTCTGGGGCACTAAATTCAACAAAGGAAATTACATACTTAATGAGGGTCTTATTTTAGAGACTTCTTTTCAGAGTGCCTGTCAGAACTAAAAAAAAATACTCCATTTGCTCTATTTGCCCCACACAAAAACTGACATAGATAAAACATAACTTGTCTCTTCTAAGACCATGTCTAGGTGAAGTCTGCTGTTGACAAAACTCCACTAGACTGTATAAAATATTGTAATGTCAATGCTGCAAAATCTTTACTCGTAAATATTCACAGTATTAAGTACATTGTTAATAGGCAAGATGTTCCATTTGTTTGTTTCCATTTAAACCAGAAGTTATTTGGAGTTAATTTAACTTAATACAACCTTAAGTTTAACCTCTCTGCTGTGTCCAACATTGAATTTATTAACAAAATTTTACAGGCTTTGGCCCATTGCCTTCAGCTGTAGCTAATTTGTTTTTATTTATGGGAAGGGGGAAGAATTCACCTAGACAGGTCATATATTGTATTTGTTTGTTGAGGGAAGCCCTGTCATTCCAATATAATAATTGTGGCTTCTGTACAGTAGGTAAGCCTATCATTTAGCTTTTCAAAGTTTAGTGCATTCCAAGTAGTATCCAAATCAATTTTTCTAATTTTTACAGACAGATTAAAATTTTTAGCTTCATTCTACCCTCTTCAGGCAGATAGTTTTTCCTGGGGGCATATACGCATGAGCAATGCAGATTGTAGCTATCTAAGGTATTGTGAACATGAGTATCATGTAGAGCTACAGTAAAGGAAAATTGATATAATTTGAAATACTTATTTTCCAGAGTTCCTTTTGTAGGTTAAATGCACAGCAGTGACTTTTCTCTCTGTTATACAGAGGAGCCAATATACTGTTACACACCACACAACTTCACCCGCGACCAAGCCTTGTATGCCAGAGGATATTGTTGGACAGAACTAAAAGATGCCTTGCCAGGAGTTGATGCCAACCATTGGCCCTCCTTGTTTGAGCATAAGTTCCTTCCTTATGCACTGCTAGCTTTTGCTGGTATAATGTACATTCCAGCTCTTGGCTGGGAGTTTCTGGCCTCCACCAGACTGACTTCAGAGCTTAATTTTTTGCTTCAGGAGATTGATAACTGCTACCACCGTGCAGCAGAAGGGCGTGCACCAAAAATAGAGAAACAAATTCAATCCAAAGGCCCAGGAATCACGGAGAGAGAGAAGAGAGAGATCATTGAGAATGCAGAGAAGGAAAAAAGCCCAGAGCAGAACTTGTTTGAAAAATACCTGGAAAGAAGAGGGAGAAGTAACTTTTTAGCTAAACTTTATCTTGCAAGACATTTATTTATAATATTTTTAAGCATTATACCCATCACATATTTATCCACCTACTATGCTAGCCAGAAGCAAAATGAGTTTACGTGTGCACTAGGGGAACCTCCGGACAAAACAAGCAACTCCAAATTGCACATCCGAGTGAACTGTAAACTGCCATCGGTCCAGCTCCAGCGTATAATTGCTGGAGTGGACATTGTCCTCCTCTGCTTTATGAACTTGATCATTCTTATCAACTTAATTCACCTCTTCATATTCCGCAAGTCCAACTTCATATTTGATAAATTGAACAAGGTGGGGATAAAGACCAAAAAACAGTGGCAGAAGTCTCAATTTTGTGATATCAATATTCTAGCTATGTTTTGCAATGAAAATCGGGACCATATAAAATCACTGAACCGCCTGGATTTTATTACAAATGAAAGTGATCTGATGTATGACAATGTGGTACGCCAGTTGCTTGCAGCCTTGGCTCAGTCGAACCATGATGCTACACCAACGATGCGTGATTCAGGGATTCAAACAATAGACCCCAGTATTGATCCAGCAGACATTGATGCCAATGAACAGCTCATCATTAAGAGACCTAGAAAGAAAATGAAATGGATTCCAAGTAGCAATCCACTCCCTCAGCCATTCAAGGAGCAGTTAGCCATTATGAAAGTTGAAAACCACAAGCCTGAAAAGCCTAAGCCAGTGCGCAGAAAAACAGCAACTGACAGTCTTATAGCTCCTCTGCTAGAGTCCACAGCAAAATCCTCACAGCAATCATCATCTCAGAAAACTGAGCCAAATACCATCTCTGGTGCAAATAATGAAAAAAAGCATACCCGCCACTTTTCCCTGGACGTCCATCCATATATACTTAGTAGTAAAAAACCCAAACCAGAGATTCAAGCCATTGCCTCAATGCCTACATCCAATAGTCAAGAGGGTGGATTTTTAAACCAAGAAGAAAATGTCATAGTACATGTCACCTCTTCTCTCAAAGGTACAGTATGCTGTTCTGGTACCATTTCAGTAGTGACAAACCCAACAGGCCTTAAGTTGTTGTAAAAGGTTGAACTCCATGATGATCAGATCTGTTTGTTCTCTCTTACTAGATTTCTAAATAGCCCATAATATAAAAGCAGGGAAGCCTCTTAAAGGAGATAACTATGCTTTCTCTCACTTGCTGTATGTACCAGTTTGTATCAATATATGCATTAGGATCTAGTACAGGTAGAGCTGCACAAAATATCCTTCCTTTCTACAATATTTTTGAAGTCTTTAGAAATGTTCACAAATTATGAATCTGGCCTCATGCAAAATATCACTTCTGCCAAGTGTAGGAGAGAGTGACTCCAAAGAATGTCATCCTCCTCTCTCAGTTGTACCACACTGTAGGTATGTCACCCATTTTAGAGTAACAAGAACACACCCAAAAGCTTGCTAAGAACTTTTTTCCAACTACTCAGCTGGTCTAATAAAAGATTACCCAAACAACCTTGCCTGCCATAGTAGATTGAAGCAGTGAACTCTGAGTACCAGTATTCTAGGTCTGACCTTGGCCAGTATCAGCTACATCTGAGGAAGGGATTAGTGATTTTGCAGGTGGCAGTTAGCTGCTCACAAATATTTCTTTCAGATCTCCATTTCTGAGAGTTGACACATGCCCTGAAGCTAGATATTTTCCATTTCAGGTTATTGTTACTGTTCTTAATCCTTAATATTCAGTTAAATTTCCCTTTATCCTACTTGGCCTTAAGGAAAGATGGTCTGTAGTATAGGTGCTGGCATGGAAATCAAGAGATTTCAGGAAGTTTATAGCAAGGCACCGTGACCTGGTGTGCCTTGATTCCCCACCTGTGCATTGGGGATAGAAACCCTTCTCTACTACACAGGGTGTGAGGCACTACTGTGCTAGGGGAGCATGCACGTGCATTGATAGAGATCTTGTTTATTTCTGTCAATTACTGCCATATAAAAGAAGAAATATGCCATTTCAATTACATAAAACTTGATGTGTGCATAAAGCAATGTCTCTCATCTTATTTCAAGCTAAAACCTTCTCCCTCTGGGTGTTGACAGACTGATAGCTACTATTTTCCCCTGCCTAGCAAATAAGTGATTTGAGGTATAAAAGTTTTTGTCATTTCCAAATTCCTACTCTTCTTAGAGCTCTCAAACTCCCCATTGTGTATATGGGACATCGTGCAGTCTCCTTTATCCAGTACCATGCTCCAATTCCAGCTCCAAAAGCCAATATTATTTTATAGCCTTAGTTACCATTTACATTACAAACACACAAGAAGTTATGGTAGGTTTGAACCACAGCTGCTCTTTTTACCCCTCATTCAAAAAACACCACAACTTCTGAGTTAAGTAAAGAAGATTATGATCCATTCTTTACACTAGTTCTTTCCAATACTAGACACCAATTAACTATACATTTTTGCTTTTCTTCATTCAGAATATTGTCTTACAGTATATGATTACTATGTTTTCCATTAAAACATAATCTGTATTTTTTATATTCCATCCTATAGCCATTGTAGATGTTTGTTTAATCATAATCTTTACATAGTTTTTTTCTTTGTTTTATATAAATGTTTTTCCATAAATGAGCATAGACATGCATAAGAAAGTAGGTTTGTTGTTATTCATGACAATGAACTTTCAGGCTTAGAACCTCAAAGTCAGTGCTCTCATGAATAAGTCATCATGGGTTTCTCAGACTCTAATTAAAACTCAGTTTACAGAAAGACTTCTGCTCTGGTTGAAATCAGTCCCATTGACTTCTGTCAGATTAGGATGTTGCTGTACAATGGTTAGCTAGGAGGGGAAGGCTAGACAACTCTTTTATGGTAATTCTTCTCTTTTCTTTCAGACCCACATCCTGAAAAAGATGCTCTGTACTCATCTGAGACATGCAGAACTGTACCTGCTGCAGGGGTGTTTCTCACCTGTAACCACAAACATATAGCAACAAGTGCTGCTGCAACAAATGTAACTCTGAGCCAGGCCAAATCAGAGCCAACACCTGCACTAAACTGTAATGCTGCTCACCCTCTGCTGCACATCAATACACTGTATGAAGATCATGAGGAAGAGGTTTCAAACCTTATAGACGATGGTATTCACTCATCAACTGAACCCAGGGAAATACTCTCCATACCAACCCCAAAACAGAGAATGATAGCAACGTTTGATGAACCAATGGCAATAGTGAGCTCTGTGGAGTACTAAAGAGACTGCGCGGCACAGCTGTACCCTGATGGTTAGGTCTAGCACCACTGTAAGTTAGACCTTGCTATCCACAACAATGCAATTTACTGCATGAGCATGGAGAGTTTTAATACAAACTATAAGCTTTGGTAATACTTCAGATGTTTTCCAGGGTCACATCATCACACTGTCAGTAGCGTACAAAACAGAAGAATAATAAATCCAGATGGAAATACACCTTTACTGTCAACCCCCTCCCCACTGCCATGTGACACAAAATTGTAGCTTCCTGAGCGCCACATGGTCCAGACAACTTCTGAAATATTAATTCAGTGACACATGCAGCAATTTTTTATAGAGTGCTTATATCCCCTGTAGTTGACAATCGCGAATTCAAGTTAAACAAACAAAGGTAAGGTGTATATTCCATTTTAATGGCAGGAGTTGAGAGTATCAACTAATAAGAGGAAAATGTCAGGGGAATGTTTCTCAAGAAACAGGAACAATCTGCAGACAAGCTTTTCATTTTTGTTTTTTTGGCTCACTAATGCTGGACTTGATGGAAATTTAGGTTGAGGGGCCTATTAACACCAGTGGTTAGTGCAAAAGAAATTGAAATTCTTCAATTTCTTGTATGCCTGAATGAGAAATTCCCTGCCCTTTAACAAGCTTATATGTTTGATGGAAGATGATAAAATGAAGAGTTTATTTTTTTAAATATATTTTACCATAAAAATTACTTTGTAGCTTTTCAAATCAGGTGTTAATTTAACAAAATGGGTAGAAGAGGGTCATTATAGCTGCTTATTTTTTCATAGTATTTCTGTAAACCAGGTTAAAAACTTTCATGGGTGCTTTATTGATATGAAAAATCTTACTGAGCTGATAAAATATTAAACCAGCAATTTTGTCAAACAATGCACAGTTAAGGAGAACTATGAATTTAAGTCTGCAGTATCTCTAGAGGCCAATCCAGCAAAACACTTAAGTATGTGCTTAGCTCTTGGCAAATGAGTAATTCCGCTGACAGTCACTGAGACTATTCACATATTTAAATTTAACGTATGCCTAAGTGTGTCTGCTGGGCCTGGATCCTAATGTATGCAGACAGTAATCCTGCAGTATACGCTCTCCTTGTGATTCAAATTCTGCCTATCTTGGCTGAAAGCACATCCTCATGCCCATCTTCCTATAACTTTTACATGTGTGATTTTTTATTAGAAAACTCTAGGGTAATTAAAACATCAACTAAAAATGTATCATGCAATAACCATTCTCAGCAAAATTATAGTGAAATAAAAGTAACTTAAAATAATTAGAGCTGCATTCAAAATTATGGACTTTTGTGTGTTTGCTTCAAAATTCTGCATAATGGTAGAACAAAATATACAGCACAAGTATGGGACTGAAATCTTAAATATATTTTTAATTTATATTACCTCAAACATGGATATGTGATGCCAGTATTTAATGAAAAATAGCACTGAAAATAAACATTATTCTGAATATCTTTAATGTGTACTCTTTCATAACCAAATGACCCATCCTTACCACATGACAACTAATAAAACTTTAGGATAAGTGTTAAACCTACGTTTTGGAAACAATATCCCATTCCAGCTTGCACATCTGACTTGGTTGATGGCGGATAATATGGTATACAATTTTAAAATAATAAAAAGCCAATGACAGGTTTGGGGCTTTATTCTGATTTTCATACCTAGATAAAATTGCACTAGTTGGACTGTATAAAGAGTACAGAATCTGGTTCTTAAACATGAACCTCCTTGAAGCTGCTTTTTCATTTGGCCTGCTGACCAGCTGCACTCTGTAATTTTCATCTGAAATCAGCACACATCTGAGTATTCCTGGTAGGTATGACTGCCTGGCTTCATTATATTTGTGCACATTCTGCTGACTGCATGCACTACAGCAGGCAGAAACTAACAGGTTAGATTGAATATATTTACAGCCAAAGTACTGTGGTCTTAAATTCCAGTGGGGAGTTCCTACACTGTTTAAAATTGTCTAAAAAGATTAGAAACCTGTGATTGACCACAAAAGTCAGGAAATGCCATTGGCCTAATTCACAATCAGTTTAAGAAAAAACTCCTTTGTGCAGCTGGAGTTGCAGCTGTTTAATCAGCACAGGGGCTGTTTTTCCTGATGCCATGTGTTAGAAGCTATGCGCACTTATATACATTCTGGACATCTGCTCTGATGTGCTAATGAGCATGCATCAGGGCAGACTCAATTAATCGAGTCTACTGGAGCATGTTAATTAATATGCTCCAGCAGCCTCTGTATCACATCTATGCAGCATCCCCATGCTTCAGAACAGCAGCAGGTGTGCTTGAACTAAAGCTCGTCAAACAAGTTTTAGTTCAATGCCCCCACCGCCATCCTGAAGCGTGGGACATGGAATACATGTGATGCTGCAGGCACTTTTTAATTAGAGCGGCTCTTGGAGCCACTCTAATTAAAGCACCCATCCCACCACCCTAGACCACGTGTATAGATGCCCAAAGGTTTTACACTCACAGAAAAAACCTCTTGTGTTGTCTTGTCGTTGCCCTTGGTACTCTGTATTGAACAAAATGTCTGGTTTTGCCATCTTGCTGACTGCTTCAGACTGCAGCAAACTACCTGAACGTTTAGCTAGCTCCTGTTAGTTGTTCAGTTCCTCTACCCAAAGGGAGTCCCTACGTTAATTAAAGAATACTAATTATTAATACTGTATCAGAGGATAGAAAGCTTCTTTGGATCCAGAATGGCATACCCAAGATCCCTTGGCTCTAAATATTGTTCTAAGGTAAGACTACAGATTTACTTACCCCATGGGAAAGTCCAAGGGAACTCAGGCCCCCTTGTACATCCCACCAAGGCAGAGGTGGGCAATTATTTGGGGCGGAGGCCCGCTTACTGAGTTTCGGTAAGCCATCGAGGGCCACATGACAGGCAGCCAGGGGCAGATAAATATTAATTTTCTAAATTTTTTAGGGGCCCCACAGGCTGGGTAGAATGGCCGGGAGGGCCGCAACTGGCCCACAGGCTGCATTTTGCCCACACTTGCACCATGGAGATGATGAGCACCGCTGAAGATTCCAACCCTAAAAGATCTTTTCATTTGGACAAGAAAATTGTCAGATGAGGCAAAGGGAATTTCAGGGGCAGTTCCCTTGATTAAGGGATCCCCAATAGATTTCCAGCCCCTTGCTGGTCTCCTACCAAGACTTCATAGCCCCAGCTGTTTTTGATTAACGTTGAGTATGTCACAGGGCCACCAAGGACTCAGGAAAAAACTTAACCAGTCCACAGGAGCAGTCTGGGTCTGACCCCAGAAGTCCCCAGTAGAGCAGCACTGACCTCTGTTGAGACACCCTTAGTATCATCACATCTATAGCTCCCAGCACCTGACACAATCATAGTTCCATCCGTGTTGGCTTAGTAATGGTATTTAAAGGTTTGCGTTTTGGGAATTGGCCTATAGGTATAGATATATATTCATTATAATGGGTCAGGATGGCCTGCAGGGGTTAATTGAGTTCTAAAAAGCCTGGGTCTCGCAATCACACAATATCACAGCCTTGGAGGCAGACAGGCTGTCTAACACAACAAGGACACAGCCTGAGAATTGAGGGAGTATGCATTACGCTGCCCATAACATGAGATAAAGTGACACCAGCTGACAAGGCCCCAGAGCAGGGTGGGGAGGGATCCCAGTTTTGGGGGAACCGATCAAATTAGGAGAAGTCCTGAAAGGCTACGTGGAAGTGTGACCACAGAGAGAGAACCAACCAGAGATAGCTATGGACAAAGAGTCATCAGGAGTCATCATGAGGGAAGGAGAACATATGACCAGCCCATCTCGGACACCCCTCAGCAGCCCACCTCCAGAATGCTGACATGCTAACACCCAAGAGAACGCCTCAGTGGAGCCTGTGTCCTGGCCAGGTGTACTTTGACTCTGTTGACAGTTCTAGGATTTAGTAGATATATAGAATTGTTTGTTTCTTTGTCCTGCTTCTTTTCTGTTATCACTGTGTATCAGTAAATTTGCCCATTATCGAATGGAGAGATTGTGGTCAGTCTGAAGGTGGCCCCCCCCAAACAAGGTCTCTGGGTCCTAAATCCAGAGCCAACAACCCACAACATCAGGGCAGGTCCAGAGAGAGTTGTTACCTCCATCCCACTCACAAGTACTGGAACAACCAAACATACCACTCAGATTCACAGAACTTGTGAACTTACGTAAACTACAATTGAATTGCAACTGATGCTGGTATCCACTTCCATTCTTCTGCCAGTGTCATCAGCATCAGCCTCCCTAATGGCTCTTAAACTGATGGCATTCCTGTTCATTATTTTCTCAGGGAGACAGGTGAGGAAATGTTGGCACAGATGGTGGATCCTCCCTACTCTGTTTTCCATACCAACAAGGTACCAGTAAGGACTCATCCCTCTTTCTGAAGAAGGTAGCCATGAGATTCTACCTAAAATGAACAAATTCACTTTCTGATATTCTTTCCAAAGCCTTGTGTCAAGGGTAGAGGCTTTTATTACTTAGACACAAGGTGCACATTAGCTTTTTGGTTATAGATGAGTAAGCCATTTTGGTCCTCTCCACCCAAAGATGAAGGGACAGGAGATTTTTCCAAGTAAAAATGCATGAGGCTAAACTAAGAAATAGCCACGGTGTCAGCAGCAGCGATCCCTTGTGGTCAAGGATGGTCACTCCCACAGGTCAAGTAAAGGGTTGCAGATGAGTCCACTGATGTGATGAGTATGTAGCCTGTATCTGATGGGTATATCAGAGAGCACTACACCTGAACTCAAGCACTATGCAACCTCATTAGACAGGTATCCACATTACCATAGTTATCTCCAGATCAGAGCCCTCATCCAGCAAAACTCTGCTTCAAATACTGTTTGTCCAAGACCCTACCACAGAGCAGCCCAAGCACTTCTTTGGTGTCACTTGCATGGAGGTGACTGCCTGCTTATAAGCAGCAGTTGTTTCAGGTGCCCATGAGGTTGTTCAACAGAACAGATGTCTTTCTAACCTTGGACTTCTGGCTACTGGATTCTGGTTTCATCCTTGTTCCTTTCTATTTCTTCCTTTGCTTTAGACTTGCTGGCTCCAGACCCCTGCCCTTTCTGACTCTAGTCCCAGCCCCCATCTTCTGATAACTATCTACTGCCTTAGGGCTTTAGTTTGGTGACTGACCACATCCTAGTCCCTCACAGTTGGAGCTGCCTGTTCTGGACCACCAAGCTAGTTACTCTGGTCTGGATTCCTGCTTCCTGTTCCCGATGCACCGCCCCTCCATGTCCCCACCCCATGACTCTATGCACCCACCTACACACACACACACACACACACAAACACACACACACACACCTCTCTCCATGACTCTATACACATACACCACCACCCCCATGACTTTACCTAGGGTAACTGCTTATGTCTTTCAGCCGTCAACCTCCTGACCTGCCTGCTCATGAGCCCCTGACTGACTTCAGTCTAGAGCTTGTCTGTTCCTGATCCCTGTGGTTGCTGGAGTTCTATGAACCAGGTTCAGCTGTGGAACGTTTGGAATGAGGGAGCATAAAACCCCAGAGGAGAGTATAGCTAGGTAGCAAACTATGAGGGAGCAGTTTGCAAGGGGAAAGGAAGCAGGCTGGGAGTTTGCTGTGCAGAAGGGTTGGGCTGCTGTGCTGGGGACTGTATCACTCAAAGTATCCATCCAGTC